TATAAATATATATATACACACACACACACACAAAGATATATTGGTGTTCATTTGTTCTAATCAAAATCAGTTAAATGTGAATGTTAGTGTTCTTCTGGATCTGGTTATTATAGACACAGATTAAATGTTAAATATTAATATTTCTATATTTATCACCACAGTAACAGCGTTACACACATCAGTAGTTGTAAACACTCAAAAGAATACATGTGGTTTAGTATTTACCTTTAACCTAAACATTTAAGGAGTAAACATTTTTTATGAAAGTTACAAATGTTGTCTTTGGAGCCTGTTTGTTTTCTAAATGTATTAAAGTGTGAATGACGGGGATCAACTTCACACTTTGTTTATCAAGTTCAGTCCATTTCCTGGCACTAGCTGACCGGCAGGTCTGCCACATCCAATATGGCGGACGCTCTGACGTACCACTGCAGCGCTCAATGAGGTGTCTACGTATATATGTCTATGGTTTTCGGATTACCACTTCCTGTTTCTGCTTCACTTCCTGGTTGTGCAGCAGAAACACTGACAGAGCAGTGGCGAAGCGTTTAAGAGACGTACAGGAAGATTGGTCACACATGGCACAAATCGAGTTCAAAAGTTTTTTTTTTTGTTTTTAAACTGAAGAAAAACTTTTGAAGTTTCTGTTGAAATGTTGAAATCAAAGTTCTAAAGTCGTCGATAATTCTTTGTTACTGGAGTTCAGCTGGAGTCAAGACGAGGTTTTAACTAAAAGGCCACCTGTGACCTTGACCTTTGACTCCATGACCTTGAAATTAAGAGACATAATTCTTGACCCATGAGCGTCCAGAAGTCCAGCTTGACATTCATGTGTTCAAAAGTTATCGGCTTACAGCTCAGAACAGACAGACAGCTAAAGGCTAAAATGTAGCTAAACGCTACAAGAAGTTTTTGAAGCACTCCAGACCTCTCCAGATGTTTATATGAGGAACATTTTCATAAATAAAGTGAGATACTTTATAAAGTCTTACAAGAACTAAAAGTCAGAGCGGCTCGTTTTTCATCGAGCCCAACAATCCAAGATTCAAACGAGTCATTTTAGCTTTTAGCTTTCTTTCATTTTGGCTTCAGAATAAATAAAACTTCAATAAAAACAAAATCTATAAAATATTCTGCATTAATCCTGACGACAACGTGCAGTTACAGTCAAGTAACTAGTTACTTCAAGTTACAGTTAGTTACAGTAATAATTACACAGTTAATAATTATTACTTATGATTAACTATTAATCAATGACAACGTACATTTAATAATTACTTTCTTAGTTACCTACAGTTCATTTATTCCTAATCAGTAATTAGTCACTCTTACAGGATTAATAATTAGTTAATATTTAGTTACTTACAGTTAATAACGAGGTAAATATAGGAACAAGGACTTTTATTATAGTTTTTTATTTGAAGCCTTTAGGAAACAGAAACGGACGCGCTGCTGGTTTCTCTGTTTGTGAGAGTCGTAAACAGAACCGGCGCCGGCCCGGTAATTACCGGCACCGCTCTCGGCTACTGTCGTGACATTCGCGTAGAGGGAGGCGGCGCCGAGGCAATTTGTGAACTCTGACACCGGCGACCTTTACAGGCACAAACACAACAAACCAAACATGCAACATTTACGGCGAGGAGGCGGACCTGAGCGGAGCCACGGCGGGTCCGAACGGTGCTGGGGGGGGCAGATGGGGGCCGCAGGAAACACAAATTAAAAGCTTTAAATGTCAGCGAGCACAGGATTGCTGTGAGACGCGGGTCATTACTCCGTACATTATTCAGAGCGTTCCACGACTCCAAGAACCTGGAGCACATCCAACCTGCAGCAGGGAGGGGGTTCACCTCCTCTCTCCATCAGAGGGGGGGGGGG